TATTAAAATGAGAGGAATAACACAATATTATCAAATGAAAGTATGTATATACATTTAATGCGTTGTTGAAAATAATTATTTGATACTTCAATTACGTTATTTGCATATGTAGTTCGTTACTATAAATATATAGTGTCACCTACTACTTCCTTATTTTCACTAATATTCATTGACAGATAGAAAAATAAAATTTATTAAATGTTGAATAAATTATAATTGTTCTCTTTAGATAATTAGAAAAAAAAATAGTTGTAATTTTTTATTTTCTATATTGTAAAAATGATTCCAGTTACTAGTGACCTCCAGATGTCAAACAATCGTATGATAACGAATGATGCTTTCAATGAATTTGATTCGTTGTATGCGTTGTAGTTAGTAGAGAAGAAAAAAAAGGTGCAATCACACGACTTATAATTACGACTATGTTGTGCAATTCTTATCAATAAAATAACAAAAAACCCCAACAAGGTTATTCATATTTGTTAAAAAAAAGTCTTTTTTTATTTTCTCCTTGAAATAAAAGAAAAAAGAGAATAGTGTCATCATTTTCAGATTAGTTTTAACAATTATTTTATATTTTTTATTAAAATTAAAATGCCACCCAAAGGTAAAACAGGACGAAAATCACGTTCAACTCGTGCTGGTATAATTTTTCCTGTAACCCGTATGCAACGTTTACTTAAAGCAACTCCAAGTGCACCTGGTCGAGTATCTCAAGGTGCATCGGTTTATTTAGCAGCTGTAGTCGAATACCTTGTTGGTATGTACATTGAAGGAGAGCAAAAAAACAACAAGCTTACTTTTTTTCTTCTATTTCTAGCTGAATTACTTGAATTAAGTGGTAATGCCGCAAGAGATTGTCGTCGTAGTCGTATTATACCACGACATATTCTTCTTGCTTATGCTAATGACAACGAATTATATCAAGTAAAATAAAATAATTCTGAAAATAATATAACGAACAATCTATTATTTTAGATACTTCGGAATTGTGTACTCCCTCAATGTGGAGTTCTTCCGAGTATTCATGCTAGTCTCCTTCCAAAAATTACAGGTAAAACATCAAGTCAAACAACGACACCTAAACCATCAATATCACGTACAATAGCAACTGGCACTACTACTAACGCACTTGTACGTAAACCAACTTTAACGAAAAAAGGACAAGGAAGTTTTAGTGTTTTGGGTACACCTACATCGAAAGTAAAATTTAAAAGATAAATGAAAATTTATTTTTAATATATATATATATGTTATATTTAGGCTGTTGCACTTAAAGGTACTGCAGTAACAACATTATCTGAACGTGTTCTTATTCGTGGACAAAAAGTAAATATAATAAATTGAGATTAGAGGAAAAAAAGAATGAAATATGATTTTAGTTAACGGTTGTTCAAGGAAGTATTGTTAATATTAAAGCTGATGCTATTGTTCATCCAACAAATAATTCATTTTTTATGGGTGGTGATGTTGGTTCGTATATTTTATCATAGTCAATTCTAATAATTTTTATTTTAAATTAAAATAAAATAGGTAAAGCTATCGCTAAAGCAGGAGGACAAGAACTTAAGGATGCCGTAGCACAAGCAGCAAAAGATTCAACTCTAACAAACTCCGGAGATGGTATAAGACTCTTTTCATAATTTACATTTTCGCAGAATATATTTTTTTTTGTCTTTGATTAGTGGCTATAAGTGGTGCACCAAATTTATCTGCTTCACATTTAATTCATGTCCATTCACCACAATGGAATGCTGGTGTACAAGATCAATGTATCGCTGAACTTGATAAAGCAACATTAAATATTTTAACATTAGCTGATGAACAAGGTCTTAAATCTGTAGCTTTACCAAGTATTAGTAGTGGACAGTATGTATAAATAATTTAATAAGCTAATTTATAATCTATCTTTATTTTAGTGCTGGTTTTCCAAAACAAACAGCTGCTCAAACAATTCTTTCTGCTTTATCAAAATATTTTCGTCAAACAGCGACAACAAATCTTGAACAAGTATTTTTTGTTTTATATGATGCTGAAAG